TCCATTCTCTCCCCATTCCAGGGGAAGGATACTGTAAAATCTCCATTCTCTCCCCATTCCAGGGGAAGGATACTGTAAAATCTCCATTCCCTCCAGATCAGCTGGGACTTGGAAGGCAGGGAATAGATGGGGGTGGAGCCAGTCAGAAGTGGTATTTACCCGTTCTCTGAACTATTCAAAATTTCCGCTACCGGTTCTCCAGAAGCGGTCGGAACCTGCTGAATACCACCTCCACTTCTTTTCTCTCAAACCAAATCCTTCCCAAACAAACGAAGCAACAGCCCCCAATCTTGCTAGCTTGTTCAGTAAGCCAGATACTACATTCCAAGTCTAAAGTTTTACAGCTGCCCAAACCACATTAAATCAGATCTAATAACCACTGGATTTAATGAGAAAAATGTGGCTTGGTAAGCAATATATAGTGTCAAGTTTGCTCATGCAAAAAAAAAAAGAAAAACAATCAACCACAAACATGTTGTGAAAGCAAGAATTTCTCTTCTAAAATAGAACAGAATTAAAGCATTTAAATTATTGGTGAAGATGAGGGAAGCCTAGCTGAAATAGTAATATTTGTTTTTTTTAATTCCCAGTTGCAGAGTAGTGATTATTATAATATTATAAGTTTAACCATGCATTATTTTCATATAGAAAGACAGCAATTACAGATGTAATTGGGCATTGTGAAGCTCGCATGAAAGATTGGGAAGAGGTAATTAGCACAGTAATAAAAACTTCAGCATCCTGTTTAGCTAAATCCTGGATCTAACATACAAGTGTCCCAAATTATTCTCGCGATACAAAGAAGATGGTGATGTTACGAGATTGGCTTAACCCTGGGAACATCAAGCTCTATCTATGACCCCTGAACAAGGGTAGACAATGGAAACAAGACCACATTATTTATGTATTCATTTATCAGAACATGGGATGGTCAACCTGACAGGCATGTGGTTGCAGATAGGCATAGAATTATGGGGGAAAGTCATTGAAGACATTGAGGTTGTTAATCAGTGAAAACATGATTAACTTAAACTCATAATTCTGAATCTCTCTGGGCTGATTTTAGATTCTGAGGTAGCTATTTACCTTAGAGAGCCAATCGCAAATGAAAACTGTATAGAACAGAAGTATTATAAAACAGGATAATGATTACATTTTGATTTCTGGTTTTAACGAGTTGCTTTTTGGTTTGCTAAGTGGCTAATTTGACTCGTATCCAGATTCTGATTGAATGATATAAACCTAGCAGTCGAAAGTATGCAAATGAGAGTAGATAAATAGGTACCACTTCGGTGGGAAAATAACAGCATTCCGTGTTGGCCACATGACTATGGAAGCATTTTCAGACAATGCTAGCTCCCTCAAGCTAAGAAACCAAAATGAGCCTCTCGGAGTCAGACATAGCTGAACACGGGAAATCTTTACTTTTACCTTTATTCTTTCTCCACCATATTCCCAAGCAGTGCTCCTTAACAATTGTATGAAAGCTCTAAAAGAGGTTTGTAAGTGTGTAACTGGACACATTTTCACACCCTTGATCAAGCATATTTCCAGAATGTAATTGTTACCAATTATATAATTATTACATAAAGCTAGTGCGGATGTCTTTACAGAACAAGTAAGTCGATCTAGGAAATACACTCCTATCACTGCATGAATGGGATCTGTGTGTCAGTGGTGGGATTCAATTTTTTTTACTACCGATTCTGTGGGCGTGGCTTGGTGGGCGTGGCAGGGGAAGGATACTCTAAAATCTCCATTACCTCCCCACTCCAGGGGAAGGTTCCTGCAAAATCCCCATTCCCTCCCGATCAGCTGAGACTCCGGAGGCAGAGAATAGATGGGGGCAGGGCCAGCCAGAGGTGA